CAACAAAGGCCAATGGAGAGGGGCGGGGGCGAGAGGCCCAGGCAGCGGCCCCTGGCGGCCACCCGTGGCCGTGCAGCCTGACGGGAGGGCTCCGGTGGCGGAACCGCGCAGTGGCGTAAGTGGGGCGGGGCTGGGCGACACCCCTTCCCCGGCTGCAGCCTGGGGCCCTGTCTTTTCCCTACTCAGGTCGCTGGGAACCTGCCCGCAGTCCCTGCCCTCGGCACAGAGCCTGGTTCCCAGCTCATTTCCCGGCCCTCTTCCCCTCCAACATCCCTTCACCCCGGGGCCCAGCCTCCCACCTCTCCCAATCACCCTCATCCTTTAAGTCTTGGCTGCCTCTGCGAAGTCAGTTTTTCTGCGTCCCTAGTCGCTGATCTCACTGACGCCACCCTCTTCCAGGCCGCCTGCCTGGGCGGGCGCTGAGACCACAGATGTGTTAAGAGACCCTGCCTACTTTGGAAGATGTCACAGTTTCAACTCAAGTGTAGAAACAGAGCTCTCTATCTGCAGGACGCGGAAGCACCTGGCTCCACTTTCTCATCTGCAGAATTTTGCTCTTACCAAATCACTTCAATGACGTTTGTGTCAAAACCCAAAGGCTAATTTTCCATTATTGCTTTTCAACATCTGACACTAAGCATTTTTTTTTTTAAGAATTTACTTGGCCTCTTCCATTTTCTTAAGTCTCCTAATGCCTGTCCTGTTCAGCTTTCTTTAAAACTGTTGTTTTGTTCACTGTAGTTCCAACCTGAGTTTTATATTCTACTCTTCCTTCTCTTCATGGCTTCATCCACTCCAAAAGCCCAAGTATCTCTATCTAACCACGTAGCGGCTTCAAATTTCCTACTATCTGCTGGACAGCTCCAGCTGGATCTAACTCTTCAAATTTAAGTCCAAACCTGACCCTTTCTTTTCCCCCATAAAACATATGTACATGTCCTGTTTCAAGGAATGTATCTTCATGCCAAAAATGTCAGTTCCTGTCTCGGTTGCCCTATTTAACTGTGTCTTGACATGCTTGTCTCCTGAAGCACTCTCAAAATCATTCCATCATTCCCATAGTTCCTTGTGTGGGTACTCCATACCAGAAACACCATGCCTACTCCCTTGCTAATCTCACACATCATTGGACATATCCTTCCCATTTGATCTGCTGCAATGACAGGATAATTATAGTGAGACCCAGTTCAAACATCTCTCTCTCTCTCTCTCTCTCTCTCTCTCTCTCTCTCTCTCTCTCTCACACACACACACACACACACACACACACTCATATATTTTTTTTAAACCGAGTCTCACTGTGTACCCTTGGCTGGCCTGAGGCATGTTATATAGACCAGGCTGGCCTCCAAATCACAGTATCCAGTTTCCTCTGCCTCTCAAGTGCTGGAATGAAAGCTATGTACCATCAGACCCAGGTCCTGAATATTTTCAAAGTCTGCTTTACACCAGATGCTATGCAAAGGCCTAGGACTTAGAAGATGGACCATGCTCAGACTTACCAGTGATGTGAACTTATGACACTCATTTTTAGCATGCCTAGCTTCTCTCTTCAGCAGTTTCTCAGACAGCAACCCTCACCAATTATCTAGAGGGCTTGTTAAAACATTGAGTGCTGTGCCCTGCCTGCAGAGTGTGAGTCTTAGGTCTTATGTTGGATTAAAAAAAAATGTATGTTTCAACTAGGTGTGGTGGTATACACCTTTAATCCCAGCACTTGGGAAGCAGAGGCAGGTGGATCTCTGTGAGTTGGAAACCATCCTGGTCTAATTAGTGAGCTCTGGGACAGCCCGGACTGCATAATGAGACCCTGTCTCAAAAACCTGTGTGTATGTGTGTAGTAACTTTCCAGATGAGGCTACTGTAGCTGATCTGAGGACCACACTGAGGACTACCACTCTCCAGTGGTTAAGAAGAAAGCTCTAGAGCTGTCTTGGTTTAAACAAGCCATTTTGTTTCTCCACATCTCAGTTTTCTCTTGGATAAAATGGTGGTGATATAATACTTACATCATTGAGTTGTTGTGAAGATGAAAAGAATTAATAAGAACAGAGCTTGAACGGATGCAAGCATAGTAACAGCTGCTATCACTGTCATTTATCTGCCTCCCACACAGTAAGCTCCTTGAAGATGGATCATATCAGATTCGTTTCTGCCTCATTCAGTGTCTAGCAAATATGTGCCTATAATCATTAGCAAATCTGGGTTTAGCTGAACCAAATAGAGCATTAAAAAAAAAAAAGACAATTTTCAGAGACTAGCAAGACCTTTCCCTGGAAAGCATTCCCTAAGAGTGGGAAGCATTCTCTAAGAGTCTGAGTTTCCTTTTGTTAAGACCCAGCCTTGTACCTGATATTAAGGCAAAGGACTGGTCTCCACTCTGATCTCAGAGTGGAGTCAAGTTTTGGCCCAACTTGCAGGCCTTTTCAAAGACTGCCTCCATCATTAGAAATCTCACTGTCAGCTAAGAAAAGTGGTATAGGAAATTCAGAGAGCATTTTGTTTTTCAGGGTGATAAACCAATTCCAGGGCCTCTCTTTCTCTAATTATGAAATTACAGTGTTTTTGTTGTTGTTGTTTTGTGTATGCATGTTGCCACACGAAGCCATCTTTTTTTTTCAGACTTTCATGTGATTTTATTTTCTCCCTTCAACCACAATAATAAGATATCCAAATTTTATGTTAACAGGTGGGTCCGTAAACACAAGCTTATCCATCCCACTTACAGGCAAGGCAAATGCTGCTTTTTGAAAGGGTCCTACCATGGACCCTCTGGTCATCCAACCCAGGTCACCCCCTTGCCTGGCTTTCTCTTCACTATATTGTGTGGCCACTTCACTAAATCTCATTCCAGACTCTAACTTTTCCATAGTTTCCATGATTTTGCCATGTTTTTCACACAGAACGTGTCTGACCTTTACTGCGTTGTCACCAACTTTAGGGCCCTGAGCCTTCTTGTCAGCACTGTCACTCCTAGAGGCTGCATCTCCTTTCCACCCTTTTCCAGAACCACTTGACCCCTTTGCCGGCATCTCCTAAGCTTGCTGTGTTCTCTGCCCTGTTCCAGTGCTCCGCACTAAGCCATCTTGCTGGCCATTCAGTAACTCAAAATATATTCCTGGAAAGCTATTGGTTCACTCTCTCCAATTCAATCCTTGCTAACAGTGTAGTCCATTGCTAACATACAGGAGAGGCTCTACCATCTGTGTTGGTCAGTCTAATCAGTTTTCCTCAGAATTTTTTTTGTTTTGTTTTGTTTTCTGAGACGGGGTTTCTCTGTAGCTTTGGAGCCTGCCCTGGAAGTCACTCTGTAGACCAGGCTGGCCTCTAAGTCACAGAAATCTTCCTGAACTGCAACAATAAGAATGGGAAAAACCAAAACCAAAACCAAAACCTGGTATCCCTATCTGTGCTTTCCTCTCCTGAACATTAAAATGTTGTAGAATATAGACACAGCGATATGTGCCCATATTTCCAGCATTCATGAGGCTGAGGACAGGAAAATTTGTTGAGCTCAAGAGTTTGCTACCAGCCTGGGCAACACAGTGAGACCCCTCAAAAGGAGAGAGCAAGAGAGAGGGGGGAGCGGAGGAGAGAACAGGAACAGAATGAGAACAAAGAAAGCACTGTAAGTAAATGGAAAAAAATCAAGGAAATAAGTAGTAACATATAGGATTCATTGACTAGTAATAACTAATTAGAACAATGACTATGAAATATCCAGTTTGATCTAGAAATAAACAGGGAGTGTGTTTCAGCCAAGCAGTGGTGGCACACACCTTTAATCCCAGCACTCAGAAGCAGAGGCAGGTGGATCTCTGTGAGTTCGAGAGACCAGCCTCCAAAGCCAGAGAAACCCTGTCTCCAAAAAAAAAAAAGAAAGAAAGAAAGAAAGGGAGGAAGGAAGAAAAGAAAGTCTCGTCTGATAAGAAACTATACAAAAACAAACAAACAAAACAAACAAACAAAAAACAAGGAAGGAGACCAAATTCCTCCATGAAAACACAAAATAAAGTGATAAGGACTACTGGGCTTGGTATTCCAGTCAAGGCTAAGCATCAGCCCTTCCCAACAAAACAAAGATACAAGGATAGATTTGATCTAATCCTACAAAAAAAAAAAAAAAAAAAATCCACACACACAAAACACAGATGGAAAATTTCTTTTTTTGGTTTTTCGAGACAGGGTTTCCCTGTGGCTTTGGAGGCTGTCCTGGAACTAGCTCTTGTAGACCAGGCTGGTCTCAAACTCAGAGATCCACCTGCCTCTGCCTCCCAAGTGCTAGGATTAAAGGCATGCGCCACCACCGCCCGGCACAGATGAAGCTTTTAGTATAATGACAGAAACACAAGAGTGTGTCATAAGAACTATAAGGAACTGAGTCCAATCTAGTCTAAGATAATTGGGGTAAATTTCCTAGGGGTGTAAATTTCTAGAAATTAACCCTGAAAAGGAGAGATAAAAGAAAGGTGGACAAAGCCATGTTAGCAGAAGGTGCAAAGGTCAGAACTGGCATACAAGATTGGAACTATCAGGATTGTTTGAACTCTAACATAAAGACAGAAACAAAAAGAGGCTAGAGAACCCCACATCCAAATCTTGCCACTCTCTCCCTAGCCCAGGAGAGGGGCTGCGGAGGCATCAGGAGCGCTGTCCCTGGTTCTGACACCCAGGCTGGAGATAAAAAGACTCAGAAAAAAAAAAAAAAAAAAAACATGGCTCTGCAGAGTACCTGCCCTCAAACCCTGAACTCAGCTTGGCTAGATAGTAGAATCTAAGAGCATTGGACAGGCCACTTCTGAACAGAATTCAGGAACATCTTTATTTACAGAGAATAACTCTGAACTTTCAGGTCACTCTTCATATTTCTGACTTCTCAGCAAAAGCTGAGATGACTCTGAAGGCCCCAGGGCTCAGCATCCCCGGCTTTGAAATGCACCAATCTAAAGAGACTCACAGCACAGATCTGTGATCAGTATATGAAAACCACAGGTTTGTTATGTCAGATACCAGCACAAAGTTACCATACCAAAGAATGGGCTGTGACAAAAGAAGACCGAGAGAGAGAGAGAGAGAGAGAGAGAGAGAGAGGGAGAGAGAGAAGAAATTCAGTAGGGAATAACTATATATTCACTAATTTAAAAAAATAATGTTGCCATCGATCAGTATAATAATATTCTAGACAGCAATTTGTTAGCATTCATCAACAATCATAACCATTTTTCTACTCCTTGATTTAAAAGTCCACCTAGTACCTAGTGAGACACAAATATAAGTGTCTCTAAAGGCAAATATAGGTAAAAACCTCAGTTCTACCTCACACGGATATGTGGACCTGGGAAAACCATAGTTTAACCAAAAACTTTAATTTGTACAGCTGGTAAATATCAAGAAATACCACTGAAAAAATAAAAATACAATAGAGAAAATGGAATTAGAGTAGAAAATAGACATAGAAGTTTTAAACCATTAGCTAAGGTATTTATATGATAACCAAAGGAGTAGGGTCAGTAGACAAGACTATACACACACACACACACACACACACACACACACACACACACACACAAAATGCTTCAGGTAAGTTCTGCCAAATGTTGGAAAAATGAGAGATCCCTGTACATATATTTTGGTATAAACTGTGTCAGAAAACAGTACAGTAGTCCCTAAATCTGTAAAACCATCTAACCAAAACCAATAAGGACTTCAAAAGAAAGAAATATCACAGGTCAGTCTCACTCACTCACTCACTAAGGTTGCAAGCATAACAGGAGCCATGTCTGGTACTGTGTTTTGATTTTGGTTTTAAATCAGGGTCCACTAGGTAGCCCAGGTGGGCCCCAAACTTGCAATCTTCCCGCCTCAGCCTCCCACAGCTGGGGTTACAGATGTAAACACTACTCCTGTAATGAAAACAAAGCTCTTAGCCACATGTAGTGGCACGTGCCTATCACACCAACACTCGGCAGGCAGAGATAGGAGAATCACAGCAAGTTCAGTGAGTTTCGTTATATAGCAAGTTCTAGGTCAGCCAGGGCTATTAATCAAGACCTTGGTGAAAAATTTAAAAAGACTGTTTGTTTGTTTGTTTGTTTGTTTCTCTGAGTTGCTCCAGCTGTCCTGGAACTAACTCTGTGGACCAGGCTGGCTTCGAATTCACAGAGATCTCAAATGAATAATCAGGGCTGGGGCTGTAGCTCAGATGATAGAATGCTCTGCCTTGAATTCACAAACCCTGGGTTTGATCCCCATCACAGCATAAACTGGGCGTGGTGACACATATCTATAATCCCAGCACTGTCGGGGCCCACAGAGATTGCTCTGCTTCAGAGAGTTCAAAACTGTACTTATTTTTCAAAGCTATAGTCCTAAGACCTAAAGGTCTAATGTGTGGCTACTGTAGGATGTTTGATCTTGGCACAGCCTCACCTCAAAAATGGGCCTCCCCACAGCAATTGTTAGTCCAGACAATATCTTATCAATTTGTTTATAAGTCAATCTCACAGAGGTGTTTTCTCAATTAAAATCCCTTCTTCCCTGATACATCTAGGTTTGTGTCAGGTTGACGAAAACCAACCAATACAAGGCAGATAAAAAGGGACATGGGGGCGAATATTGTGAAAGTACATAATATGCGTATGTGACAATGTCATTATGGGGCCTGGAGAGATGAGTAAGTGACTAAGAGCACTTATTGTTCTTGCAGAGGACCTAAGTTCCATTCACAACACCCACATGGCAGCTCACAACCACCCTTAGCTCCAGGTCCAGGAGATCCAACACCCTCTTCTGACCTCTGAGGGTACCAAGCACACATAGCATACAGACATACATGCAGACAAAACACTCACACACATAAAATAAATAGATGAAAAATCTCATTATGAAATGCATTATTCTACCTAATTAATATATGCTAATAAAATGTCTTTCAACAGCAAGAGGGATAAATTTGACAAAAGGTCTGCAATAACTCTGTAAGAAATAGTTGTAAAATTTTATTGAGAAACATTAAGGTCCTACATAAATGTTGAGAAAGATTCTTCTCCTAGGTAGGACACCTCATTACTGTTTTCTGGAATTTGTTTAGAGAGTGAGTGAATCATTAAAGCCCCATTGTGTTTATGTATACATAATATGCCGAGCTTTTTATTTTTTTTTTTAATTTCTTTTGAGATGGAGTAGTTGTGAGTACAGGCATCTGCCACTGCACCTGGCTGACAAACTTATTTTAAAAGGTATAGTAAGGCTGAAGAGATGGCTCAGTGGCTAAGAACACTTGCTGCTCTTGCAGGGCAACCAAGTTTGGTTCCCAGCACATGCCAGGCAGTCCACAGCTGCTTATAACTCCATCTCCAGGGCACCCACTGCTCTCTTCTAACTTCCGTGGGCACACACAAATAAAAGTAAAATTAAATCTTTTTATAAATGTAGCCAGGCAGTGGTAGCACATGCCTTTAATTCCAGCACTTGGAAGGTAGAGACAGGCAGATGTCTATGAGTTCGAGGCCAGCCTGGTCTACAGAGCGAGTGCCAGGAAAGACTCCAAGCTACACAGAGAAACCCTGTCTCAGAAAGAAAGAAAGAAAGAAAGAAAGAAAGAAAGAAAGAAAGGAAGGAAGGAAGGAAGGAAGGAAGGAAGGAAGGAAGGAAGGAAGGAAAGAAGGGAAATGAGCCAGCTATGGTGGTCATGGCTGTGATGTGATCCCAGCAACTCAGGAGACTCAAGTAGCAGTTAAGAGTTCAAGGACAGCATGAACTACTTCAATGAGTTCCAGACTAGTCTGGGCTACAGATAGTGAAACTGTCAGAAAACTAAACAAACCAGCCCCCAAATAATGCATATAGATGAACTGAAAATTGTAGCTACGTAAAAAGAATAAGGCAGAGAAATTGGTCTACTAGGCATCAAATCTTATTAAACAGTAGGTAGTAGCCTCACGTTCCATAAGATGGCTAGTATAATAAAATACATCAATTAGCTCTTGTTAATATGAGATACACTCTATTCATGGATGCCTGAAACTGTTCATAGATTTGA